GCAATAAGAATGCAAGAAAATGTGCATTCATATATAGCCTTCACCTCTAAACTAGCAGTTAACCATTTGAGAGTACAGTGCAGAATTTAGTCTTAACACTGATTGGCAGGAATAAAACATCAAACTATGGACTAGGAAACATCATCTCACTGTAACTGCCAGAAAATAACTACTGTAACTAGTCTTGCAGCCGTACACCTTCTGATAAAAAAAAAACAACACCTGCAAGTGTAACATCAAGCTCTTTTAAGATGCAGGGCTACAAAGAACTGCTTACTTGGGACACTAGACACTTTGGCATTCTCCAAGCTGTGAGATAGGCATTAGCATGTTTGCAACACTCAACAGCCATGTATCCATCCTCTACAATGGCTGTCCTAGCTCTTGCAAAAACTGTACAGCAAACTCAATTGGAGCTACAAACAATCTTCACTTTGTTATTCTGTCCAATTTATCAAATTCTAGTATCATTTTTATAATTAGCATGTTTACAAGTAACAAAACTGCCAAATTCTGCTCCTGGCTGAAATGATTGCACATGAAATGTAAATTCAGCAGTTCAGGAACCAGCTTATGTTTTATCTATTATAATATTAAATGTACTCCGAGAGCTAAGGCCTATTTTAAGTGTTGATTGCAACTTCTTTCCTAATAAACTGTTACCTACTTCTAAGATGTTTATTAAACTTAGGGAGGAAAAAACTCAGAAAGCAATTTAAGAGTACCTAACCCAACTACATATTTAATTAAAATCACACATATAAGTAATCTTACCATCTTAAATTACCCACTGGAAAACATAAGGCCTGTTTCATTTACTGCAGCGCTTTTATTTTCCTTTCACAATGAAATGTTGGGCATTACAATTCTCAACTTCAGGATGACTTACAAATTTTGGTTTTCTACTGTCATATGACAACATTAAGGCAACGTACAAAAATCTTACATAAATTAAACCTGATGATTAAATTTACAGGTGTCAATGCAAACATTGGAGCAACTCAAGATGAGCAACTTTTTGCCCTGTGATGTCTTGCTGGGCGATACTGGCGGGCAAGGAAAGAAAACAGGTTCATAAGGCTTGGATGCAATGTTTCCAACCGTGCTAGGAACAGTGGCAAGACAAAAATGGCCATCCTTTTCACAAACTCTTGCCAGCCTCAACAATAGTGATCTGGAATTCTTAGCGCTTTGTGTAGTGGAAAGTCTGATCTTTTGTTACCCTGTACAAATCCAGCCTCAAACTCCTTTGTTACACAGCTGGTCACACCAAGACCACTGTCTCAGCCTGTAACAGACACAAGTTAAACCTTTGTATTGTATGAATATCATCTGTACTAGGTACTAGGCCAGATGTGTATAGGGTAGTTATACTATGTACAAAGGGAACAGTTAACTTGAGTACAGATCATATCAGCAACAAGGTAGACATCCTCACAGGATTATTGGAGACAGACTTCCCAATGACAATGTTTTGAAGAGAAGGCTTATTCCAGTTTCATGAGGCTAGCATGAGGTGTATATATTTGCCCAGGCAAATTTATACTGGTGAAAAAAACTCATGCAGCAAATGCTGCACATCTGCCAAATAGTCCATTTAGAAACATTTACGGTGAACAATAGATGGGCCAGACTCATCATACTCCTGCTTGCTGATCCACATCTGCTGGAAGGTAGAAAGAGATGCAAGAATGGACCCACCAATCCAGACTGAGTATTTGCGCTCAGGAGGAGCAATGATCTGAAAGAAAACGGATGGGGAAAATTAGAAAATTCAACCTTTACCATGTGTTCAGTTTTCTACTTTGAAAACACCCAAAACTAAGTTTGAAAATGGCACTGCATAAAGAACTGTCACTGCAGCATAATTTTATTGCCCTGATAATAAATAATGCAGTTGTCCTCACCTTAATCTTCATTGTGCTTGGAGCCAGTGCTGTGATTTCCTTCTGCATTCTGTCTGCAATTCCTGGATACATTGTGGTACCACCAGACAATACTGTGTTGGCATACAGGTCCTTCCTGATATCTACATCACACTTCATGATAGAATTGAAAGTGGTCTCATGAATGCCACATGACTCCATACCTAAGAAGAAAAAAAGAATACACTTATGCTGTACCAAACGGAGTATTTTTAATTAAATAAATCCCCTTGTTATTTAATGCACAAGCTGCTGTCAGCACACTAGCACATGCATTTCTTAGAACCAAGAAGAAATTATGAACTTACTAACGTGCCCATTAAATGCTTACCTAGGAAAGATGGTTGGAAAAGGGCTTCTGGACACCTAAATCTTTCATTTCCAATGGTGATCACCTGACCATCAGGCAATTCATAGCTCTTCTCCAGGGAGGAAGAGGAAGCAGCGGTGGCCATCTCCTGCTCGAAGTCCAAGGCAACATAGCACAACTTTTCTTTTATGTCACGCACAATTTCCCTTTCGGCTGTGGTGGTGAAGCTGTAGCCTCTTTCTGTCAGAATCTTCATGAGGTAGTCTGTGAGGTCACGACCAGCCAGATCAAGTCGCAGAATGGCATGAGGAAGGGCATAACCTTCATAGATGGGCACAGTGTGTGTGACACCATCTCCAGAGTCCATTACAATACCAGTGGTACGACCAGAGGCATACAGGGATAGCACAGCCTGGATGGCCACATACATAGCAGGAGTGTTGAATGTTTCAAACATGATCTAAAAAAAAAAAGTTGTTGTAAAGAACAAGAATGCTTCTGTGGTGCAACACACACGCATGCAGCCATGCAAGATATCTGATGGAGAAGAAAAAGAAAAGAAAACAAGCAGAAATACAACAAAAACCTGAGAGACGTCAAGGAAGGAAATGCCAGGAAGAGTACAGAATCCTGAAAATAAGAGAATAGAAATTTTGACTCTAAAGAAAAATGGTGGTGAAATGGATGAAAGTGATAAATGTAATAACCACATCAGCATCATACCTGTGTCATCTTCTCTCTGCTGGCCTTGGGATTCAAAGGAGCCTCTGTTAGCAGCACAGGGTGTTCTTCAGGGGCAACACGAAGCTCATTGTAGAAAGTATGATGCCAGATTTTCTCCATATCATCCCAGTTGGTGACAATTCCATGTTCAGTCGGGTATTTCAGAGTTAAGATACCTCTCTTGCTTTGAGCCTCATCCCCCACATAGCTATCTTTCTGTCCCATTCCAACCATGACGCCCTACAAAAAAGACAATACAAAATTAGCACACCAAAGAAATAAAAATCTGAGGCCGAACATAAACAAGTGAAACTGTATTTCTCTATTTAACAAACCTGGTGGTGTGGGCGCCCAACAATTGAGGGGAACACAGCATGAGGAGCATCATCTCCAGTGAAGCCTGCCTTGCACATACCGGATCCATTGTCAATGACAAGCGCTGCAATTTCCTCTTCCATTTTGAGAATCTGGTTTTGACAAAAATAAATAAAATATTTAAAATATCAGACGATCATTAGTAGGGAACTTGCTTTTCTAGAGGCCATCTGGCTCCATTAACAGATTCAATGACGCTACAACTTTTGACCACTAGAGGTTGCTGGAGCGCCCTGCCATAAAGTCTGGAGACCCCACCCTCTTAGCTACATTTTCAACATTTGGTCTGGAGTTTGTCCTGTCCCATTCTTATTCCACAGATCAACGAAGATGACTGGTGTCCTTGCTCCTTGGAAGATGTTCTCTCATAACTGCTAGCTACAATTGCAATAAGAGTATTATCGGTCTAGGACAAATTATCCTACTACAGCTGAAACAGAAGTATGTCTACTAATATATCCATCAAATATATCCTTCCCTATCACATGAGATTTCTTTGACCCTCAAAACTCAGCATCAGGAAGCTACAACACAGAACTTGCAGTGCTTACACACCAATCTTCTGATCGCTTGGTAAGGCACCCTTCCTTAAAAAAAAATATCCACGAGCAAAATCTGAAACAAAGGTTCGACTCTAGTAACTTGGGGGAGACAGCGAACCCAAGTCACAAAATTTCGTGTCGTGATACTCTTACTTCCCTACTCCACGTAATATCCTGAAGGCCAGGGGAGTTTCCAACAGTGTCAGGCAAAATTTCAGATTGCGATCTCGGAATTCCATCCGCAGACCCGTCTCAAGCCAGCGCATAACAGGCGACGCCCCCACCTCCTCCCCGGGGAAAGGCTGGGGCTGCCGTAGCCCCACCTTTTCACGCTAAACTCTCCCCCACACACACACACACACACCCCCGCCGCCTGGAATGATCCCGGCCTACTTCTCACCCAGCATCCTTCCCACTCCAAACCATCACTGCCCCACCCCCTCACATGGGGGTAAAGCGAAACTCATTCCCAACCGCCGCCCCCCCCCACCAGTCTACACATCTGCCGAGCGAAGGTTCGGTTCAACTTTCCCGCCCCATGACGTCACCAACTGCCTCCAACCAACCACGTCCCAAATGCCCTTTTCAGGCGGCCAGCCCCGCCTCCTCCCGATCATCCCATTCAAAAAGCCGTTACAACGGCGATGAGTTCGCGCGACCCCAGACAGACGGTTGCCAAAGAGCCGCCAGGAGACCATCCCATATTAAAATGAGCAAAAGTGACCGGGGGGGAGGGAAGAGAGAAAAAAATGAAAAACTAGCAAAAACCAGCTAACAGAAGCCCATTCAATGCTTTTAAAAAAAGCACTGACAATTAACAATGCGAATTAAGTTTCTTCCCAGACATTAAGAGACAGGGAGAACTAAAATAGAAAAAAATAAAACGTTAGGGCATCCCACTGAAATGCCCGCATCTGGGGACGGTTTACCTACCTGTAAGGAGGCGGGAGCTTTCAAAGATGAGAAGAAAAGACGAGGTACTGCTAGATCCGCTGCCGCCGGCTGAGTGAGACCGTCCGAACGCCAACCCCGCCCCTTTTATACCCAGGGGGCGACAGCCCCCACCTTCCCGGCCGAGAACATCGCCATAAATGGAGATCTTTCAGAAACACGAGCCCCCATTGGCTGGCGGGAAGCGGGCCACGTGGGGCAAACGAAAGAGCCTTGGCGCCACCTCCCTTTTCAACCCCGGAATCTGTTTGAGTAATGAGTCCGAGAGGGGGGGATGGGCTAGCTGTCTTCGGCCAGGACCCCTCCCCTGTTGCCCCATATGGGGTCCCATTAGGAGTAAGAAAAAGGTACGTATTGCCCTAGCCTTGAGGTAATTCCCCACCACCACGCTTCCATTTTCGGTGCATTCGTCGCGGATGGTGGAAATGGGCATCGGGGAGGGGGTTGCCATATTATCAAGACCAGTGCCGGGTGTGTGTGCTTGGATAGTGGCAGGCTGAGGCGTTTTCTCCGTGGCTGCACAACGCCTGAGTGGAGGGCTTCTGCCACATAATAATGCGAGAAGGGGGCATATTGCGGTTAAGAGCAATCTGGGCCTTCTGTTCCACCAGAGCTGGAATAGTCCTCACAACTGTGGTGCCTATGCCACAGGTAGCCCAGAACAATGGGGGCATTTGTCCCTGAAATTTTGACTACAAGAACTGTAGGCATGGTGTGCTTGGAATGCCATTGCTTGGATTGCTGCTAAGCTACCACCATTAAGAAGTTTACATGGCAAGGTGTGGGGTTGTTAACACAGTCTCAGAAGACCCTTGGCCTCCCAGATGGGTTTGATCTCAATTCTCTTCAGCCTCAGTGTGCACGGACAAGAAAAAAGCATTATGGATGTTGTAGTCCTAAATAAAAGGTGGGCTAAAGTTTCCTTAGTCCTGCTTTAGGAACTTGGGAGGTGCATTGAGTGCCTTGGTCCAGAAACAGGCACAATATGATTGTTTAGTTATGTTTATTCTTTTCCACGCCATTCTAGACACGGAGCCTCCAACAAAGATACAATACTGTATCAGTGTTCATTGGTGCTGTATTCCCAAAGCATGCCAGAGTAGTTTGCTTCCATCCTGCTCCCAACTGGGCCAGAGTATTTGTTCCATTCAAGATATGATGCCTTAAAAAAAAAAGCTGGTCCTGCTTCAATAGAGCTATAGTGTCCACCTTTGGACCACTGCACTACCAGGCTTTGCCTGTACTGCTAAGTTTTATCTATGTCACTAAAGCCACAGTGCTGGATGCCTCACCATTGCAGCCAACATGTCTGGGGGGGTAACATGATGACTGAATTGCCATAGATTTAATAGTATTTGTTTGCCATATTGAAAGACACCAACATGTGTGCAACAGTGCTGTTCAGGAAAACTTTAGTGGGACTATAAATCCTAGAGATCTACATAGAGAGAGCCACAATAATGCTTGTGACATTGTTTCAGAACAAAGCAAATGCCTACAAACTTAATATTTCCAGAATAAAGAACACAAAATGGCTCTCAAGATATTAAAAGACAGACCATAACGTACTGAAAAACAAAATACACAAAATGGGCAGTTTTACAGTTTTGTGCTGGGAAATAGCATAAGTAAAGGCATTACAATGGACAAACTATGTTTGTGGAATATGTCAAGCTTTGGAGAGAGAAGTTGTCCTTGTATGTTCAAAAGAGGGAATGTTTTGCCCAATGACATCAAGGGCAGAGTGCTATATAGACTACACATAAGGCAAGAGAGGCTGCTTCTTTATCTACTTATCCGGTGTACTTTTGAGATACTGGACTAGAATTCACACCCATCCTCATGTGGTGCTGGGAATGTGTGATTTCTAATCTTCTAGGGATGACTTGGCTTACAGGAAATGTCACTCATATATGTAAGACTCAGAAAGATGTAAAATTTATCCCCCTTAGGATCTACATCTCTTGTTCCAGAGAACCTGAATTACCGCTACTGCAGAGATGACCACTAATCTGCTACTGAAATTTGGGCTACAAGATGCCTCAAACATCTTCCCTTTTTATCTTTGAATCAGCTGTGTATGCAAGATGATCCTAATGAATGAAAAAACCCAGATCCAAAGTGGCCCCAGAAGATGTAAGTGGAAGGAGCTTTTTTTTAAACAAAAAGATTCTTCTGGTCCATAATGCCCCAGGTGTTTCAGTTTTTTAAATGTGATAAATATGGAAATTGAGGAAGCCTAGCTGACAGTCTGCCAAACAAATGAAAAGCATAGCTGTGCCCTTGGCTGTAAAGTCCTTTTTAAGTTCTGCAGAGTGTCAGCAAACCAATGTATGTGAATGGCTATCCTGCTGAGTTCTGCCTAACAACAGAAACCCTTTCCAGAGTAAAGTATTAGAACCAAAGCACATTTCATCTCCATTGCTTATTCCTTGGAGAGGTGTTGGACTCATCACATAGTTAGGGAAAATAAGAATTACTCTTTTTTTAACCAGATAACTTGGCTGCTGACAGAAATTAGCTCTAAGAAAGATTGAAGACAACAGGCATACTGTGTTTTCAAATGTGTTTCTTATCCCACACTGCAAAACTGCTGTGTTGCAATAGTAACTTAATACAATGGCACTAAACAAAGGTAAAACAGCTGATCTCTGCCCATCCCTGTTCTGTGCACACACCTAGAAAAACAACCAGACCTTGCCTATAGGTAGGTGACTAAGCTCTTCCTTCCCATGGAAACATAACCTACTTATCTTCCTAAATTGAGAAGCTCTCTGCCAACTTAAGTGATAGCTAAGTTATCAATAACAGAGGCCTGCAATATGAGTAACACAAACACTGAATCAATGGAAATCAGACAGATCATAAAATCATCACACACACTATAACATCATAAGCAAGGCATTGCGATTAGTTTAGTATCTACTACTCCACTCCCAAGGTACACTCATAAAAGACAATAGAAGTTTGTTCAGGGATCATTTAATTTTGGAAAATCATAACATAAGAGCTATGCTGGATCATACCAAAAGTCTTATCCAGTCCATAATTTCATTTATACAGTGGCCAACTGGTTACTTATGAGAAACCCATACACTGGACAGGGGCAACGGTACAGTACCAACCTACTTCCTGTATTCATTATCATAGGTACTGATAAAATTGCAGCTCCATACCTTAGCATCCTTCAAATTAGATGGAGACATTCCTCACCTTTGGTAAGGCAACTTGGCCCCAAACTGGTAGACTCAGACATTTTAATAAAGGGTCAATTACAAACCACAAAGTACTAATAACTCTATGAATATTCCTCCAGTAGTCCAAAATTTAGAATGGAAAGGGGAGATGTTACGAAGTTTCCCCTATTTGCTGATGTATGCTACCCCTTCTATTAGTTGAAGGCAGAAATATTTTCTAAACAAATTGGGGAAAAGTGAGTTTTCAGGGTTTTAAAAGGAGGAAAGATGCTACATTAAAAAAACCACCCTATATTTCAGTACCCATCATCTGTTCTAGTTGAGAGTTCACTATTTCTGCTGTACACTTTCCATCAGAAGTATCAGCCAAGAAAAGGAAAATTGCTATTTAGCAATTGTCCAGATAGAGGAACTGTAGGTCAAAGCATACATAGTTCTGGGCTGGAGACAGAAACACAGAATTAACGACTAAATTCAGAGGCTTCATAAGATGCCTCGTGACTTATTTATATATACCATATCTGACTCTGAACACTTAAATGGAGATGACTATTCTGGGGCTCAGTACAGTACAACCATTCTCAAAATCAACTAGTCCCAGATGTAGCTAGGTTTGGAGTACAGTAATTTGCATTTTCAGCACTTGGTATTTCCAAGAAATACATTAGTATTTCCAAGCTTGCTTTCTGCCTCTACGTTTCTTTCCACCATTTAGAAAGAGAAGTGCCATGGTTATTGGTTCTTCAACGCACACTCAGTAGGCGAATGAACAATCCTGTAGTACTGGAACATAGAGCGTATTATTGTACTCTTTGGTAGGGCCCATTTCTACTGCCTTTGGTCTTTATGCTGCAGCATACAGTACAAGCACACACACACCCCAAAATCTCCGGAGTCTCTGCTCTCCAAACACTTTCGATTATTAAGCAAAGGAGGCATTCTATAGTAAAAGGGCAGTTTAAAGGCATTGAAACGTAGCGGATGAAAGCCCAGGATGTGCAGGCCTTCCAGCTCGCTGCTGGAAACCGCAGGCCCGCGCTTCCTCCAGGCACTCGCCTTCCTCCCCGGTTCTTTTGTGCCGAAGGGGAGGGCGTATTTCCTTGGGAGAAGCCGAGGCTGCGCGTACGCAGCCATCGCCTTTCGCGAAATGGGTTAATCCTCATCACAGGAGCGTCACCACGACAGCTCCGAGGGCCCCCGTTGTGCAGAGGGGCCCCACCCAAGCCAGGAAGGTTCCCGGTGTGCGGAAGAAGAGTCCCGCCGGCCGTAACCTCGCCAGCAGAGATGGCTCTCTTCCCGGTGCACGGCCCGCCTCCCACCCCTCTCGAGAGAAGGCAGCAGCACCACCACCACCAGCAGCCTTAAATGTGCAGTCTCACACTTTTGTACAGACAATGGCTGGGAGCACGGAAGTGGCCGTGGGCATATGCCCCTGAATCTGCATTCAGCATAATCTCCGGCCTCAGTGCCTGCCCGCCCGTCCGCCCGCGACTGCTTGCCAAAGCAGGCAAGGCGTGGAGGGAAGGATGCTGGCTTGCTGTGCCTTGGAAAGTACACGGGGCGGGCGGGGGGGGGAGCGCGAGGTTATTGGCTCTGCGGCCAGTTATAGCACGGAGAGCGAGGACTCGGGGGCTGGCTCGGTAAGCGCCATCCCTCTCAATGGAGGAGGAGGAGGAGGCGACCGAACCGCCGCCCGAGCTCGACCTCGCTGAAGAATTGGCCTGTGTGCCTATGGCACGTCATTGAACTGCGGCAACAGCAAGGAGGGAGGGGGGGTGTCGGTGGGCCACGTTGGGTGGCGGTGCTCCCTGCAGACGGTTGGGTAAGGAGGAAAAACGAGGCGGGGCCGCCATAGTCTCTTACCCTCCCCTCCCGCGCCATCCCCAGACCTGCTAGGAATGGCGGGGGGGCACTTTCCTCTCTGCCGCCCCCACTCCCTGCTTCTGCACACGAGGTTTGGCAGGAAGGGCGCGGCGCAGCTTCGCGTGGAGGGAGCAGCTTTCTTGCAAGGAAGTCCTGGCTTTTTAACAGGCAGTTCCTGCATTCCAGAGCACACCGTCGCCTCATCGAAACCGGCCGGGTTCCCGCGCCCTCCTTTCCCCCCCACCATGACCACTGACGCATTCCACTACCCCCTCCCCCGCCCCGTCCGGCCTTCCCAGGTCGCTTTCCCGCCAAGCGGTCGCGCCTGCCCCATTTGAGCTTGGCCCCCCTCTCTCGCCCGGGTGGGGCGGGGAGCGAAGTGAAGGGCCCCCGCCCCAGTGGCTTCTTTCGCAGTCACGCCTCTCTTGGGGACGCTTGTTTCGCTCCCTAATTTGTGCCAAGTCGGCATATACCCAGGAGCACTCTTGGGCTTTTCCCCTCGATTATGGGATCAGGGAGCAGGACTAATTTCTAGATCCAAGTCTTTGATCGAATAAAAACCCGCACTCGACCTCCTTGTATGTACTTCCTGCGGCTGAAGAGTGAAATCACCCCCTCTCGCCGCCTCCCTTCCGAGCACACACACACCCCACCCCCTCCGTGGCTAAAGGGAAACCGCGGACGGCTCTCGAGTTCTGCAGCGCTCCCTGGACATCCATTGCCTTCTCTGCCCGAGGCGGCGGCAGACCCTTCCTTTCTCCCCCCCCCCCCGGGCCCCTCTTCGCTTCCTTCCAGGGCGGCTGGGTTGGCGCGTCATTCATTTCTCACATGGCGGGACTGGGAGGGGAGCGGCGGCGCACCGAAACCCCGTGGGTGTCTAGTCAGACTGGAACAAAGGTGGTGCCCGGGAGCCAGGTGAGGAGGAGCGGAACGAAGGCCCTTCGCAATGCCTATATTTGGAGATCGCGGCTGGCCCTGGCCTCGGGGAGCCGCCCCTGCGGTGCTCGGCTGCTTACTACGGCTTCCAGCAAACGCCACCGGCTGGCAGGCAATTGGAGGCGTCCGTGCCCTCCTGTGCCTTTCGTTTCCTGGATGAACGAAACGAGTGGGGCCAGAGGCAGATGGAGGCCTCCATGTCGATAGGAGGGGTTCGGCACCTCTCAGAGGAGGGAGCGAGCGAGCGGCTCTCTTCCTCCAACTTGGCTCTGTCAGCTGTGCAATCCCTGTCGTTCTTAATATAAGAGCTACCGTATATACATGGGCAATCCCACACGCCTTTACTGAAAAGAACAGGCAGTGTATTCAGTTGGCTTTACTTTCAAGAAAAGATGGATGGAATTGCAGCCTCAGATGGTCTACAGAGACCCTTTTCTGCTCATAGGGCAGGGAAGGCGAAAGGTTGGACACCCCTGGTCTACAGAGACCCTTTTCTGCTCAACCATTCACAAATGGTGGATTAGAAGTATTACCTGCTCCTGCATTTGTACCATTCACAAAGTGACACTACAGTAGGGGAAATTTTCAGGGACTGAATCATTTTTTTCATCAGTTAACCAGTTCTCACGGAACACAAAACAATTCTCCAGGGAAGGCGAAAGGTTGGACACCCCTGGTCTACAGAGACCCTTTTCTGCTCAACCATTCACAAATGGTGGATTAGAAGTATTACCTGCTCCTGCATTTGTACCATTCACAAAGTGACACTACAGTAGGGGAAATTTTCAGGGACTGAATCATTTTTTTCATCAGTTAACCAGTTCTCACGGAACACAAAACAATTCTCAGCACTGATGGCTGTTGTAGCTTTTTGGGGCTGTCTGTTCTTGAGGTTGTTCTTCCTAACATTTCGCCAGTCTCTGGCGGCCATCTTCAGAGGACAGGAGTCAGAACTCTGTGCTCTGGTGCAGTTTGTGGGATCCCATTGGTTTTGTCAACATTCAGGCTGTCTTTTGCTATTTAAAGCTTGGCAGCCTTTTTTCCTGTTAGCAATGTGGGCTTGATCTTGTGCAGCAATATTGGGCCATTTCTTGGCTTTCTGAATCGTGGTTACGGAAGTACAACATCCCACATTCATGAACTAGAGGGTTTTTTAGAGTATTCTATTCTATTCTATTATATTCTATTCTAT